TGTAAATAAGCTGCTTAGTACCTTAGTCCTTATTTTGTGCTTTTTGGGACAACAGCATTGGTTTTCTACATAAATATCTTTTTTATTAAATTATTTGTGTACATAGTTTTTTTTCTCCCATTTCGAATAGGTAGCGTGTGATACGCATGCACTCATTCGGCATGTGACTTCCTTTTTCGATATATCAGTCGACACATCATTACTAAGGATCGCTTATTCGGAAAAGAAATGTAAAACGTTTCGAGGATGTGGTACGTCACCTGAGTCGGAATATGGCATTTGGCACACATATTAAGTTTTGCTTTGTAAACTATTCAAAATATAGTGTTAAAATTATCTATTTTAGGTTTTAAATATTGATAAAATATTTTTAAAAAGTTAACTGAAAGACATAATATTTTGCAGAAAAAAAATATTTGTATAGAGATCATAGTAAGATCATGTTAAATCTATAGAGGGAACGTATGGACATCATTTACGAGGCGTTGCCATACAACCAATACACTCTGTCCTTGTTCCGGGTGATTGAGTAATGCACTCTGTGTATGGGTGGCGTGGGCATATCGAATCAACTACGGTTTTAATACACCAGGAATTCAATGACAACACCCAAGGCTTTCCAGATAAATGTTGCAATATCACTGGTGCGTTGGAATTCTTTATGTAAATATATGGCAAGAAATGTGTTCGCCTAATAATAAGATTCTATGAAAACACCACTCAGTCGATAGTGGTTGCCCCTGTGGTCTAATCTGCAGATGATGTCATTAGATAGGGGTCATTGTTCTAAATATTAAGGTCTCTCCTCAGAAGTAAAATCAACAGAAAACATTATAGAGATTCTCATATTTGAAGCGCGTTGATAGTGTGAATGCTGCACCGAGGTGAGTGCATTATATAAATGCTTAATTTTAATATTAAAAACATGCAGTCTTTTCAGTTATGTTATGTTTTCGGTATGTAGGGTGAGTATAATGATGCAGAATAAAGCTTCCCTAATGAATAATTCTAATAATTAAGATTATTTTTACAAAACAATACTGTTTGTATATTTATTGATGCAAGGTTGCACATATGATTCTAATTATGAAATCGTGATTTGTAAAATGTATCCCACAGTAGCTGTATGAGATAATGCAATGCATATCAACGTTTACGCAATAGTGTATTATTGTTAACATAATTTCTAACAATTGGAATGTTTCCAAGATGAAGCCAATTTCCCAATCGGGACAAGCTGTATATGATACTGGTAATTTACTTAATAATATGCATGTAGTTTTTGAAATATGTGTATGCTTCAAGATGACCAACAAGTCGTGACTATGATTTGATAAAAATATACTGAGCAAGCTGTTATCGGCTTACTTAATAAAGGTATGTACGGCTCGAACAAGTAAATCTACTTATTCTGAGCGAAATGAGATTGCCGATCTATTGAAACGTATTTGAATAACGCATGGTAATTGAAATAATTGTGTTCTGCCAGATAGCTCACGCATATATGTGTTAACGGATTCCCTAAACAAATACCTTATATTCGATATTCTGCCTCTGTTGTGAGCGAGGTAAACAATGTTAAAGCGGGGAGTCGTCACCTGCGCATGCGTCAGATGGCCATACCGTGTTTACAGACAAGCGTCTACCAAATGAGCCTTTGCGTTTTTAGCGTGTGTTGTTATCGTCGCTTTGGACTCAATTTCCGCGCGTGCACAGGTGACGACCCTCCTACTTTAATGTACATCTTTGTTTACAAAAAAAGGCATTGATCTGTTATCAAATTATATAATTTTCACAGCTTCATCTATAGTATATGAATGTGTTGTAAGTATGTGAACACCTGGAAAACATGCAATATCACATTACCAACAAAGTTCTAGAAACCATTTATAACACAGACTGGCGATATTAGATTAGCTACAAAGTTCTGAAAGTTATTCATATTAAACAGATGATATAAGATTGGCTACGAAATTCTGAAAACTATAACAGACTGGAGATATCTGATTACTTGCTACGGTTTGAAATCC